TATATATATATATATATATATATATATATATATATATATATATATGTATATATATGGTTTCATATGTTTTCTAAGTGTAATATCTTATAACCGTTTGTAAGCCGTTTCGGAAATGTTTCTGGACGATACGAATGCTATATGAAGGTGTTATCACCTTACATGACCGCTACCCCGATATCGCGCCGACAAACGAAATAAGCTCGTTTGACTGCAATTAGTGTGTAATCAGTTAATTGTGCGCACCATAGTCGCGGTCCGCTATAGAACAATTCTCATCGGCGACGATTTGCAAATACATAAATAAAAAAGAAATAGACAGAGAGAGAGAGAGAGAGAGAGAGAGAGAGAGAGAGAGAGAGAGAGAGAGAGAGAGAGAGACAGAGAGAGAGAGAGAGAGAGAGAGAGAGAGAGAGAGAGAGAGAGAGACAGACAGAGACAGAGAGAGAGAGACAGACAGACAGAGAGAGAGACAGACAGACAGACAGAGACAGAGAGAGAGACAGACAGACAGAGAGAAAGAGAAAAAAAAAGGAAAGTTCGAAGTGGGGATGGTTTCGAAAATCTTTCTAGTGCGCGCCCTCCCGCTGACCGGACGAGACAATGAATTTCCGTAGCGGGCTGGCAAGGTCACAATAAGGGAAGAGCATCACGACGACCGCTGTGGCTCGTCAGAGTCGCGCCGGGCAAGCGTCGCAACGTGCAAAATAGTCGGACATCTTTACACTTTGATGCGAACGACATCGCTGCGAGGTCGTCTCGTCGACCCGGCCTCCGGCCGTCGGGTACCGTGACACCTTCCACACCGGAGAATCTTTCCACGCCCCCCGTGGATTTCCTAACCCGTGCGCCGGCACAACAGTCTTTCCCTTTCTCCGTCGTGTACCGGCCTGTCTATTGGGTGCGATGAACTCGAACGAAAAGGTGGACGTAGTAGGACAACGCTCTCAGGCATAAATTGCGGAGACTGATAGGAGGCGATCGCGTGCGGTCCCCCAATCGCCGAAGGAACGCAGTGGCAACGACATGTTTCGCGTATATCGCCGGAACAATGCAGAACGACAGTAAGTGGCAACGGTGGATAACTGACTGTCGCGGGCGTGTGTGAATTTCGAGGCGAACGAACGCGGCCGAATCGCGCCCCCCAAGCCCCTGGCGTCGCGATACTTACGTTAAATTAGCGATAATCATCGTGGCCCCAAATGAAACACAAAACACACGGACTTTCAGAGTATGTAGATGACGTCGGATTGAAAACGGAAATGAAAGGGGATCCTGAGTGTCGCCACTAGCTCCAGCCGGCGGAAGTCGTTGTTATTGGCTACGTTCAGCAGAGAAAGCTGCTTTGCAACTGTTGTAAAATCCGTGAATCTGATTGGTACATACTCTTGGATCAACCAAAATTAAGAACATGCTCCAATTAGATTCACGAATTTTACACAGTTGCAAAGCAGCTTTCTCTGCTGAACGCAGCCATTGTCGCTACCAATTTATCTGTTCTTTTCATCTGCACTGCTGAACTGGTGCAATAAGTTAAAGTGCGATAATATATGTTTGTATGACAATATATATGTTTTTTCACTTTAACTTATAGCACCAGTTCAGCAGTGCAGCTGAAAAGAACAGACCAAGTAATGCCTCGGTGTACACTCGTGGTCTAAAAGGTTTGTGCACCGATTTTTTGTAGATTTCGGAACATGTCCCAACTTCAGTAGGGCTGTTCTCTAACTTTCTAACGACAACGTCGTTATCGTTACGTAGCGACGATCGTCGCTTGCGCTAACGACGTTGTAACGAAAAAGCTATTCTGTAACTCAAGCTAGCGATACCGTATCGATACAAAATGTGATACCGACGTCGTTACTGAAATGAGTATATTCAGTTTAATATAACTTCACTGCTGCAGTATTCAGCCAATCAAATCTCTTTTCCTTGTGTACCTTTTTCAGTGAGTTTAGGAGCAGTAAATAGAAATATTGGCTGTGTCAACAATTATATGTGACAGTTAAGCAAAATATGTCAAAGTAAGTATATGTAAAATAAATAATACACAAGAAGATTAAATTAAACATTAATTTGGCATCAACTATATGAGCTTATATTAAAATCGTAATTTGTCATCAAAATATATCGAAATAATCTAATAAAACGTGATACACAAGTATCACAATGAAAAAATGTAATTGTATATATAATATTAATCTTCAAAACATACATAACATTTTTTTTAATATAATGTTTGCTGATCATGTTTTAGATTATGTTCATACATGTTGTTAGCAAAATACTTATACATGTGGACCAATATAGTTAATATCAAATAGATGTATATATTTATGTGTGTGTGTGTGTGTGTGTGTGTATGTAATAACTCTATGTTTAATCAATATATAAAAGATTGAAAATATATATGACTATATTAATACATTTTTAATGTTATTTTTTTAATATTTTTTTAGATATGGCGAGATCATAAATCAAACCCACACAGCAAGAATGTCCCAAATACATCATACGGATATCTTGAAGATATCACCTTGTATTCTTAAGCGGGAAGCACACTCTTGTATAAAGGCATAATGCACAAAATATAAGAAAATTGATCAATCAGAATTCTCATTTCTATTGCCACGATGAAAATAAAGGACTCTGATTGGTCAATTTTCTTATGCGTTATGCATTATGCAATAAGTCTTAAGATGAACCAATCACAGAGCCGTATTCTCGCATCTTAAGACATTACTTAAGACGATCTTGAAATAAGATTCGACTATGAATACCGATCAAAATCTTGTTATTTCTATGTTATATAACAGTTATATTTATTGGAATTATAGACAGATCTTTTTCGTAAAAATGTGAGATTACTACACTGGAATGGCCTAGTTATTTCACATTTTCACTCAGCAGTTTCATAATTGGGCGACCTATGACGTGAGATGATAATACGAAAAGTGAGTAAATTCGTCAAAGAACCATAATAGGCCTCCTGCTCAACGCGGCAACGTTTGCCGCGTCCTATGGGCAAGAGCTATAATAATCGACCAATCATGTTGAATATCGTCCATAAAGTAAGAGAGAAGGAGGTGAAACGAAAGTGGTCCTGATTCGTGCCCCCTAATTGAGAGAATATGCTGAAAGGAATAACTTCTTATGGTTCGGCGCCATTTATAAACCAATAAGTTAGAGCGAGATAAAATATACTTGTTTCATTCTTATTCAGTAATGCAGCTCTTTAGCTAAAGATAAATCCCGATCTACAATAGATGTAGTAAGCCGTAAGAAATTAATCAATCACGATTAATTATTCTTCTATAATTCAACTATGGTCAATTTCGTAAAGCTTAAAGCTTACTACATCTATTGTAGATCGGCACTAATAGTCAGAATTATCTTCCTCTAGAGCACACAATATAAAATAATATCCTGATTAATCCTTCTGATTAGTTAATCGATCCTAGGTTATTAAACCCAAGTTCATTGGTCGAACATTTTCATATACTTTGTGATTGGCTAAAACCTAATTCCACCAACATCGATTGGGCCTTAATCTGAATTGAAGTTTTTGTTTCAAATAGTTTAAACGCGGTTTAAAGCTTGATCGACGTTGGTGGAATCGGGCCTAATAGAATCTTGTAACGTCATTAATCGATCCCGGGTCAATTAACCCAAGAAGAGTCGGGAAATCTTGTCCGGGCGCACTGGCATTTTATTCCTTCCACTTTTCACACAGAGACGCTTCTGTTCGTCGTGTGATTGCGCGCTCGGTTAAGCGACAATTTCCCGAAAAGTGGAAGGGATAATGTTGTATCGAGATAAAAATCACGGCCGTGATTTGAGCGCTTAGTTTGTGCGCTATTCAACTTATTGAGACAAATTGTTTCTGAAATATGAAATAATAGAGACGTATCATATCGAGATATTGGAAAAATCGACTCCAAGCATGGCAATACTTCTCCTCGATGAATCTTTCAAGATATTCGATAGGAAAACGTATCTGAGAATTACTAAAGAGCAAATTCTCCTATTAGATACGAGATGAGTCACAAAATTTACCGAGGAAAAGGATTACTACCTTTAATCAGCCGACTGTATACTGAATGCAATAATGCATTTTTTTACTTTGGATCGCAACTGCGATCGATTTTCACATTCGTGTGAACTCTCCAAACCAATATATTTCGAGGAAGTCGACATTTATTCGATATCGTATATAATTGTCGAAATAAGTATTACACTTTGAATTAACAAAAGCAATATAGCCGCGATTATAATTTTAGGCAATATTTATCTCCTAATTAATATTATTTAATTATATTTAATTATAATCGAATAGAAATATTTATGTAATTGTAATTTTAGCAATATTTATATATATTTTTATTGGTTTTTCACATCAGATCCTGTTGCATTTTATGCAAACGTGTGTGCTTCGTTTTATGCCCAATCATATATTACGTAATCGTATCTTTCCTTGCACTCTGTACAAATTTTATATTTATATTTTCATACCGCAAATATATAAACAAGCCGCGTTTGTCTCTGCTTTTAGTTCGAAAAATTATACGATCACTTTGGGATTCGAGAACAGATGAGACACTCAACTATAAATACCACACAAGTAAGATAGACGTATGTATATATATATATATATATATTACTTTAATATAATTGTTTAATATTTCATTTACAAATGCATTCACACATGCCTCAGACATTCCCGTTACATCAGTAACGCTCAGTCAGTGCTCTCTTACATAAAAAAAAGAAACAACATGGAAGAATTAATGAACATATACACAATTCTAGACTTATTTTCTTCTTTCAATATTGATGAAAAACATGATTCGACAGTATGCACGATCAATAGCTTAATTTTAATGTAAAAAAAAATTCTAGCACGCGTGTCATCTCTCATCACGTGATTTAACGATAACTGCATTTAACAAAGTTTGTTTATGATCATGAGTGAAAAAGTTTAAACAAACTTGCGCTGTTTGCATGTAAGTGTTGCACGGGCTCGCGAGCATCAAGGTTGCAGCCAGCCGACGAAACTTTGAATGTAACTATACATTGTATAGCTACGACTCTCTATAAGAAGTCTGTCTCTCTTTCTCTCTCTCTCTCTCTCTCTCTCTCTCTCTCTCTCTGGAATCATCACCTTATATTCTCGCTATTATTATAATTCATCGTGCTCCTCGTCTTTTTCATCCTCGGCGTCAATATCCGATACCTTATCCTCCGCGTCGTTATTAACCATCTCCTCATCGTGCATCTCTTCCTCCTCGGGTACCTCGTCCACAGAGATGCCCAAAGTCCTCCTCATCAACTGCTCCACGCGGTTCGCGAAGGTGGCGGTCTCCTTGAGCATGTAGCCAGATCGCAACGTCGCCGTTTGATACATCATCATAGCGATGTCCTTCGCCACCTTGTCGGTCGAATCGAGCTCGACACGACGCAACAGCTCTCTAATGAGTGGATGACGCGGATTGATCTCCAAGGTCTTCTTCTGGTTCAAATAATAAGACTTCTGCGGATCGTCCGATTTCTGGTGCGCGTTCGAGATTGCCAGTCTCTCCATATTACCAGTCCAGCCGAACATACTGGCGACCAGAGCGCACGGTGAATCGGTCAAACGTTCCGACACTTGTGCCTTGCTGATGTGATCCTTCATGTTGTCGTTGAGCCACTTGATCAGCGGCTCGAATGTAGTCTTCAACTGCTCCATTCGCTCCTTCGCCTTCTCACCTTCGTTAAGCGTGAATCCCTCCTTCGCGACGTTCTGGAACTTCTTGCCTTCGAACTCGGACAGCGACGAGATAGCATACTCGTCCGCAGCCTCGGACAGCTGCAGCACCTCGTAGCCTTTCCTCTCGAGGCGCTCGACGAACGGCGACTTCTTCACCTCATCCTCCGACGAGCCAGCGATATAATAAATGTGCTGCTGGTTGGGCTTCATACGGGAGACGTAGTCCGCCAAGAAGGTCAGCTCCTTCTGGGTGGAAGACTTAAATTGCAAAAGCTTGGACAGTCTCGCGCGATTCTGCACGTCGTCGATCAAGCCCAGCTTGATGTTCGTGCTGTATTCCTTCCAGAACTTCTCGTATTCCTCTTTGGGGATCTTCTTGATCATGTCCAACACCTTCCTGACTAGTTTCTTCTTGATTACCTTAATTAGCTTATGTTGCTGAAGATTCTCACGAGAAACGTTGAGCGGCAGATCATCACTGTCCACGATACCACGAATAAATGATAGATAGTTTGGCATCATATCGGTGAACTTGTCGGTAATGAAGACTCGCCTTACGTACAACTTGATATTGTCCGATTTGGTGCCGTAACGATTGAAACTATCGCTCGGTTGAACTTTGGGGATAAACAGAACGGACTTGAACGTAACTTCACCCTCGGCAACGAAATGTATCTTCGCCAACGGCTCCTGGTTGTCCTTGGTAAGTGTTTTGTAAAACTCATTGTATTCCTTATCGTCGACTTCATTTGGTTTCAACGTCCAGATCGGCTTGGAGTCGTTCAACAATTCCCAATCCCACACGGTTTTGTCGATTTTCTTGGGTTTCTTCTCGTCTCCGTCCTCTTCCACCTTTGCATCGTCTTCATCGTCTGTCTTGTCCTCAGAAACGTCTTTTTCCGCGTCTTCCTTTACGGGCTTATCATCCTCGTCCTCGTCTGCGTCTACTTGGATGACCTTGCTGTTCCACATATATATAGGGAAGTTGATGAACTGCGAGTATTTCTTTACCAGAGTCTTTATCGTGTCAGGCTCCAAGAAGTCCAGTGCTTCATCCTTCAGGTGCAAACTATAAAACAAAGTACAAATCAGAATTAATTTAATGTTAACTCAGAGATACTTGCTTAAATTTAACGATTTAAATTAAGAAAATTTAAAGATTTTATAAAATAAAAAATTAAAACAAGATTAAAGAAATTTAAAATTCTCTTAGTTGATAATTTTTAAAGAAAATTTAGAGATTTTACAGTTAATCAAACATTTCAGATTGAAATTTTAGTATCACACTGTGCCATTTACCTGACAGTTGTTCCTCTCTTCAAGGTGTCTCCTCGCGGATCTTCAACGATGCTGAAACTGCTGCTATCAGATTCCCATATGTATTGCTTGTCGTCATTGTGTTTGGTGGTAACAACTACAACATTGGCAACCAAGTATGCAGAGTAGAAACCCACACCAAATTGACCAATCATATCGTTCATGTCTTGAGAAGTTGTAGCTTCCTGCATTTTTCCCAAGAACTCTGCTGTCCCAGACTTTGCAATAGTTCCAAGATTGTTCACCAAATCTTGCTTAGTCATACCGATACCAGAATCCATTATATGTAAGACTTTATTCTCTTTGTCAGCCTTTATTCTGATAGCTAGTTCACTGTTGGTATCTAATACACTCTTCTCAGTAAGAGACAACAGTCTGATTTTATCCAGAGCATCAGATGCATTTGAGATTAATTCCCTAAGATAAATCTCCTTGTTGCGGTAAAGGGAATTAATGATAAGCTTCATCATACGATTGACTTCGGTCTGAAACGCAAACTTCTCAGCTTTGTCCCTTAGCTCTTTTATCTGAGCAGTATTTAACCCATCTATCTTTATCGCTTCTTCTTCTCTTTGTACTGCTTCATGATCTGTAATATATATAGTTAATTAGAAAATTTATTGACTCTTTTCACAGATAATTTTTAAAGTACAAAGGTAAAAAAAGAAGTCAGATCTTTTGATCAATCACAAATGATAAAAATATATTCTATATTTTAAATATATTGGACGTTTTTTATTCTTTTTTATATATTTTTTTCTTCAAAAAGTAGTAATATATCGAGATTCTTCCCATCTGTTATAATTTTCATACACATGCATTTGTTATCATCAGATCCCGCGATTGCATTTCATGCAAGTCAATTTTCTCATAAATTAAAAATCATATGACACAAACCTGTTCGGGATGCCTCGCGACTTGCACCGAGATCGTTCTCCACGGTTCCAACATTCTCCTCGTTTTCGTCGGCGGCAACGAGTCCTGAAGGACAAATAAACACAAATGAGTACAATCATATCTAGCTAGCGGTTTGTCGAAGATAATCGGTTTCGTTACAATCGCACGACCGTCACTTACCCGCCAACATAAATAACGCCGCAATCAGTATGCAAAAGTTCTTCATCGTCGCCGCGAATTGAGAGCGGTTAACGAGGAAAGACACACGTTGCTAAGCGAACCGCGTACAACTCCGATCAACGTCAGTGACTTCTAACGTCCAACTTGTGTCACCGAACTGCCGCGAGAACGACGGATATATCAAGCACCGGTGGACCGGTTGGCCAATCGCATCGAACCACGGCAGCAGCCGCGCGCCAATAGCGAGCGTGCCGGCGGCAATTTCATCCAAATGTCCTCGCGCCATTGGTCCAGCGTCACACATGTTCTCACACGTTCTAGAAGCTTCAGCAGTGCCGGATGTATCAATTCCACACGACGTGCAAAGGTAGCCGTCGCTATCGGGAATGGGCGAATTATCGGTGGTTACGTATAACCGATGAAGATAAACGCGCTCACCCCTACAAAAAGATAGAATTCGAGACGAGGTTAAGTCACGCTCGACTAAACTGGATGCCCCGTAATAGGTACGAATAATTTATCGCATCACATATGCACTGGCAATACCTTTCGATATTATATTCGATATTTATATGTAATTGATGATGAGAGAAATATGGGATAATATAAATATTGGTGATAACAGCAATAAACATGAGAAAAAAGAAATTCTATTCAATATAAGAAGTTCTATTCAATAAAACAGATTTTTTTCTTAACGACAGATTCCAAATGAGTTTGTCAATCTTCGTGTCGCAATGATAGGATATATTTTCAAGCGAGATTGCAGCATGGTAAAAAAAACGTCACATGATAAATAGTTTTCTCGCCTCTACCTTCTTCAAAATTAATTTCAACAACGACAAGAAAACATCAGGTATTCGACGCACCTGAAAAATTCACTGTATTCCAGCGCCCTGAGTAACATTGCGGTCGGAGTGAGAATTAGTAAGTAGATTTTGCTGTATAGAGTGCAGCTCCGTCGATAAAAATCCACGGTAAAAAGTTAATACGAATTATCTTCTTTACAGCTCATAGCCGGTAATATCGGTATCTTCAATTTCCATCGGATTCCCTTTGATGACGTTTAATATTAAACTGAAAGTCCAGGGACGCAATGTTCTTCATCAATCACTTCGTCAGTGACGTCAATTTGTCATCTTTTCCGCGTATTCACGATACTGCATGTACTTATAGAAAATGTTACAGTCTCTCATTCTGTTCTGGTTTTATTAACATATCGAGTAAGTATAGTTTGTATCAGCACAATCGACTGTCAACTGTCGTGTCGTGACTGTCGAGAAGCATATGTTATTAACGATCGCACTGCATCATACAATGGTTGCAGAACAGTTCAGACACAATAAAGTTGAGAGCTCTCATTAAACCGTCAAAGACTGAGAGACATTATTTGTGTGACGAGTTTGCCCAGCAATTATATTATTACCCTGATGGATATATTTTATTAAAATATTTACTGAAAATCTCTCTCAGTTGACCCTTTTTTTATTAAAAATCATTAAGATTCTTTAAGATTAATTAAAATTCATTAAAATTTATTAAAATTCATTAAGATCTATTAAAACTCGTAAAATTCATAAAATTTATTTTATTGTTATGTAGTAATAAAATAAATTTTACAAATTTTAATGATTTTTAATGAATTTTAATAAATTTTAATTAATCTTAAGGAATCTTAATGAATTTTAATGAAAAGGGACCAATTCAAAGAATTCAATTTTTAGTAAAATATTTCCATCAGGGTAATTATTATTATTATGAATTAAATATAAGTATATTGTTATTACGTATTATTATTCACTGTTCTTAATTATATTATCAATTATGTTATTGTCGATTATGTTATTGAGTCCGTCGGTACACACAGCAGAAATGTCCAAGATATACAAGGTGTTCCAGATCACCTTCACAATCTCTTGTGAGGACTGAAATGGACACAAATGGACACAAATGGACTGAAATGGAAAGCGGATTGAAATGAACACAAAAATCCCATACCGTTTTTTGCGATATTCGCAATAAATCTCAAGATATTAATTAAAAAAATTGGTGAATGATCATGCGTAATGTGGTATATGAGCTGCAATTGCGCCGTCTGCCGTTGTATACTTGTACATTAAGTCAAACTGAACAAAAAAGTCCTCTACCATTTTGGAAATAACAACATAGATTTTTAGATATTAATTAAAGAAAATTTGTGCATTATGGTACATAATCATGTGACAATTTTCTTTGATTAATATTTAAAAATCTATGTTGTCATTTGCAAAATGGTAGAGGACTTTTTTGTTCAGTTTGACTTAATGTATAAGTATACAACGGTAGACGGCGCAATTGCAGCTCATCTACCATATCGCGCATTATCATTCACCAATCTTTTTTAATTAATATCTCGACTATTATTGCGAATATCGCAAAATGGTATAGGACTTTTGTGTTCATCTCAATCCGCTTTCCGTCCTCATGAGAGATTGTGAAAGTGATCTGGGACACCCTGTATATTTTGGCATTCTGCTGTTTACAATTGACATTTCTGCTGTGTGGATAATGGACTCCTAATTTCGTCAGTTTGCTCTGAATTCACAACTTCGTCGGATCTAAACTGTTTCGCAACTTATTGTACGCCGCTTACTGTTGTTATACAACTTATTGTTGTTATCGCCGCTTTGATGCTAGTTACATGGTTGCTACACGGTGATTATGCGAAAAAAGATAAATGTTAGGGTTCAAGAACGCGGTAACACGCGTAAACTACATTGTAGTGGGCATCAGCGGTGTCCGCGCACCTCTCTACCGCGCAATCGGCTCTAGCAGGTAGAACTAATCAAATATGTACGATAATTTATCTAGTTCGCGGACTTTCCACTGGCGAATGTCGTTTGCCCTGGCGCTACCGATATCAATCGGTACGGGGGTCAAGGTGATCACACGTTGGCGAAAATAGTCAGTTTGTAGTCTAATGATAACAGTCACAACACGTAACACGTCATAACAGATAACACGTATGCAATAACTCGGGAAGTCGAGTGTTCATTTTTGCTTTGACTTCTCGCGATTTTTCCTATTTTTCGCGCGAAAGATTGGACTTTGGGAAACTCAGACTTTTCTAGATACTTTAAGGATTCACTTTCTTTGTTATGGAGTGTTACGTTTCTCCTTATCGAATTAAAATTCGCACACGATCGAGCGTTGATAGAACTGCGACATTCTGACCGAGACTGTCTTCTCTCCTTTTCTCGCAAAGATTGTACTCCGTCAGTCAATTTGCTATACAGATCAACGTATTGAGGTTCGAAGATCAATAGACGCGTCTAATAGAGAAGAGGAATGCGCGTAGTTTAGACGAATCTCTGCGACAACAATAACCGGATGTACGAATGATTCGATAGGAAGCTTCCACATAGGCTCGTTGTCATCGCGCGTGTTGTTTAAGGCGATTACGTGATTTGCAGTACGGTGTGCAATGAAGCGCCAAGCGACGCTCCCTTCAATTTCGAAGATCCATTACGCTCTACGACACAATATTAATAGAGCGAAGAGCGAGACTGAAGACACGATGTGGACGCGTGTAAAGCATCTCTTCCTTCTCTCTATATTTATTTAAGTTATTTATATTCGCAGAAAACAGTGTGGTCTTTAATTGGCATGTTAATTGCGTAAAAAGATCTTTGATAAAATTCTAATTTTAATTCTCCTTGTAACTTTATGGCCGATATTAGCAGTTATTTAAGTTACTTGAAACTTGTTTCAAATGAGATATTCAGATTTAAACTTAAAGTTTAGTTGACTCGTGATTAAAAGTATAATCTCGTACATATCTAACGATTTAACTGGCAATTTCGAATTTAACTCTGAATCACCTAAAAAAAAATATATATATATATATATGTGTGATTTTATTTTTAGTGGGATCCTCTTATTTATAGCCTCGGGAGAATTCTTTTGAAATCAAAAGCAAAATATTCTGGCATCCAGTATTAAATGGAATTTTAGTTACAAGGCGCTATTTCTTGCAATCTCATATTTTAAGCAAGAAATTTTACCGTAACAATATTCCTTTTCTAATGAAGAGAACTATTGATCTACTAGATCTTCTAGATACCTTAATAAACGCTATCAGTAACATGACATCAATGTTATAATTCCCTACTCGACAATGTAAATGCAATATAATGCGAGTGTTATGCGTTAGTGTTGTTGAGTGATAAGTTATAACAGTGATGTGAATGTAATGTTAGTAGTTACTAAGATTATTTTAACTTCGTTCCTTTTGAATCAAGAGGGCTTACTTGAAGCAGAGTTTCTTACTAGAAGAAATTTCTTTTAAGAACAAGACTTATATTGTAGACCAAACACGAAATATTATGCTCAGAATATCTTCCTCTTGGTCTCAAAAGAATCCCCTTAAAGTCACATACAAGAGAACCCCTCAGCTAAAAATGAGATTACATATTTTTTGGGTGACTCAAATCTGACTATCTCGCGTGAGAAAGGTCTCGAATAATGCTAATTCATGCGAGCCCATGACTTTTCCATGAAACAGCGGCGACTCCCCTCCGAGTCGACAGTCTTGCGTGCAACCACCCTCCCGGGCTTCCGTCATCATCGTCGGCGAACGCGACAACGAGGTTCTCCGATTCTCTGGTCACTCAACGGCTACCATTCAACGACGACGAAGACGACGACGATCGGTACCGATGAACGATCGATGGATCGGTCGATCGTGCGATCGACGATGGTTCGCGGAGCGATGCGCGTGTTGTGACACGCCGGTCGTTATGGAGACGTGTCGCCGGGACCATCGGCGTAATGTATAGGTTGCTCTTCCCTCACGTCGCGCGTCACACGGCACGCTCTCGCCGGGGGTGTGTGTACGTACGCGATGTGTGTCGTCGCGCTATAGGATCGTCCGAGAGGTCTGTGCCATGCCGAAGGACCGCCATTCGCTTGCCGATCCTCCTCCTGAAAAATACGCCGCGCCGCTGTCCCGCTGAAGAGAGGACCCCGAAGAGAAGAAAGCCAAGCCGCGAGAGGGTTCCTCCACCTGCGACGCTCCTCCGAGTGGCCGCCGCTCTCTTTCTATCTTTCTCTCTTGTCCTCCGCGCTGGTCCTGTTGCGCGACCTCCGCCGCGTCCTCCTCCTTACCGTTGGCCGGAAGCTGCGCGAACCGAGGTGAGTGGTACCGCGCTCCGGACGTTAACCGACAACCACCTTCCTCTTTCGTTCCGGGAATCGCGCGAGTTTTGTGCTGGAAGAGCGAAACCCTGCCCTCGTTCTTCCCGACTGACAGAATTGATGGATAACCCTTATAGAAATATCATAGTAAGAATCATTGATAATTACTTATTATCCAGTATTTTTAATACTGAAAATAAGTAATTATCAATGATTCTTAGTATGATATTTCTATAAGGGAAATCAAGCTCCTCTCTTCTGACATTTAAATAACGAACTATTCGTGACTGAAGTACGTGTTATGGCAGTTGGACTTGTGTTGGCGCTCTATGGGAAGATACTCGACATGCCGCATGCATTGTTAAATATTTGTAATCGCGTGACCGGGGACCCGTCGGGGGACCCGCTCTCAAAACGCGTAATAAAATGTGCCGCGCCCCGTTCTAGTTTCCGTCCGTCCGTCCGTCCGTCCGTCCGTCCGTACGTCCGTCCACCCGGAACGTACGACGCGCGCCGACTATTTTCTTGGAATATTCGTAACGCCGGACGTATGCGCCAATATTTAATATCCTGTCGATGTTCCGGTTACACCGACAAAACAACATTCTCCCGCGGCTCGGATCTGAGGCGAAGTCGATACCAGGTCCTTGTACTTTGCGGCTATGTACACTGTGTCATGGAAGAATATATTTAATATCTCACTTATAGCTGATAGCTCTCGTCTCAATGTTCAAACAATTCAAGGATAGTTGCGATTTCCTCGAATTCTGACGGCGCCAAAGCCATTTCGCACATGTATTTACGCGAACATTTAACATGTTCACTATTAGGAACATATTTTATATTTCGCGCATCTCTCACCGAATATTTTAGTTTCTTTTTATATTCAAATATATACAATCTCATCAGATATATACATATAATCTATAATTTAACAGACATCTTCTTAGACATGAATTTAAGAGAATTCTTTTAAAACAAAGATATTTTAAACATAATATTTTTAGATTTGGAGGAATTTCGTTTCTCATCTACAGTACAAGTCTTGTGCTCTTCGCACAATAGACATTCTTCCTAATAAGAGGATATTCCGCTTCAAGTAAATGTTTACGTGACTCCAAAAAATATATATATATATCTCCTGATTCAAAAGGAAAAAAGTTAAAATAATTTCCAATAGATTTACAGAAAATAGTATCTTGTAATTAGAGTTTTTTTGGGCGTTAGAATATTTTTCTCTTCGTTTTAGAATATGTTTAAAGCCATGTTAAGATAATTTCTGCAAAGAATAAGTTTATTTCTTGCGCAAATATGCACAATGTTTTGTGCAGACTCAATTTGACCAAACGTGGATTTAAAAAAAAATTGTTTGCCATCACACACATACATACATATGACATTGATAGCGTTAAATAAACAGTTTCTTCTTTCAACAAGCTAGCACACGCAGTAAACAATTTCTTTTATGACTTTACGAAATATAATTGTCGAAATCTTCGGTATATATAAATAACAGAATGCTTACCTTTCATCACGTTGCATACTTTTTTGGTATACTCAGACAACATAATGTCTAAAATCAGGACATCTTAAAGACCATCTTTAAGATGTCTTTCAGACGATTTACGTATAAATGTCTTTAAGGCGTCTTAAAGATTATCTTTAAGGCGTCTTATGTCCCGATTTTAAACATTATGTTGTCTGGGACAGTTTATTGGATACATTTTATTTCAGGTTTTTTTGCTCGACCTACTAAACTCGATTTCAGTATCCTATAGTAAAAAAAGCAAAGAAGTGTCTAGCAATTGTTGAACAATGAGGCTTTTGTGTGACTTTTAGAATGCATGACGCGATTTTCGGCCGCCGTAGTGACGATGTCTGGGAAACATGTGTCGTGGAATAATTAAAGGCAGTTAATGGACACGTATTATTGAACACGTGGTCCACGAAGGCAGGGCACGTGAACGTTGGTGGTTCAATGTAGCATTTGCTAGCGAGCTAGTAACTAGTTGGCCTCGGACGCGACTAATCAATGACCCATTTTGCGGATATGCCTTTGTGCGCGCGCGATGACAATAAAAAAAAAAGTTGTCCATGTGAAAAAGAATAACGTCACGTTAGGTCTTGCGTATCGCGATCACGCGATAAACTAATCTCGAGAAATGTTATCCGAATCGTACGTCGCGGAAGCGACTATTTTCTTCGTGTTTTCCATTTTTTCCGAGAACCGACATCACCCTTATCGGCTTGTTTTTCTTTCTCCACTGCATCTTCATTAGCAACTGTCAGATGAGATGCTGCCGGCATCGCGTTATCTTAAACGTCTAGTTTTAGAGAGCAGACGTAAGGTGTTTCAGATCTCTTTTTCTCCCTCCACCTGTCGCCGCATCTGACTCATATCCGTCACGTGAACTGATGACGTTTTCGTTTCAGCAATGTTCAGCTTGAGACCTCAGAGTGCCACCACGAGGCAGGAGATTGAGATGATCAACAAGGCCCAACGGGCTGTACACAACACTACGGACTGCATGGAGAAACTACGTCTGCTTTGCCTGGCTAGAGGTGCCAATGGCATTCTTGGGCTGGGTAGGTAAGTCTCTTCACGGCAAGCATCTTCTATTTATACACCAATGAAAAAGTTGAAGCTAAAGGATTGCTTCAAAATGTTGACGTGCATTATTCACGGATAAGATTCGATGTCACTAGCGTGTACGGTGACGGTACGGTTTTCCTTTTCTTCGAGCTCACGCACGATGAGTCAGTTGAAACGTCCGTCCTTGACCTTTCTCGGCACGTAACCGAGATCTCGAGTCTGACGTCGCAATGATAATGAATTCCACAGGGCGTTCCGTCGTATGGACGACGATGGCAACAAGAAGCTGAATCTCGAGGAGTTCACGAAGGGTCTGGAGGAGACCGGCCTGGAAATGTCCGAGGACGACATCAACGATGTCTTTCAGAAATTTGACACCGATGAAGACGGTAACATCAGCGTTGACGAGTTCATCGTTGGCATAAGAGTGAGCATCTCTCCATTGGTTTGCGATTTCATGAGCTACATTTTACGCAAAATGGATTGTACCACCACTTGTTTCACTTGATGCAATTTAATGGAAGTTTTACTGAAGCGCTATTTTGCGTATTCAACGAAAAAACTGATCCATTTCTTAGACTTTCAATTGCAGCAAAACTTGATAGTAAATATCATATTTTGAATGTTTTCCATTCTTCAGCCACAGATGTCTCAGAGCCGCAAAAATGTGGTCGAGCAAGCGTTCCAGAAATTGGACAAGACCGGCGACGGGCGGATCACGATCGACGACCTGAAGGGCGTCTACAACGTCAAGTGTCACCCGCGTTACATCAGCGGTGAGGAGAGCGAGGAGAGCATCTTGAACAAGTTCTTGTCCAACTTCGAGCAAGGCATCGCGGATGGCATCGTAAGTGCCTCCTCAGTCGCATTTCTCATATTAACTCGTCGTTGAATTGAATTGCTAGAGAACTGTGGAGTCTTGCCGACGAGCTTCATCGAATGTATTCTGATCGAGTTTATTAGTCCGTATCTGCGCTGAATTGCATTACCAATATGCAAATCGATTATGGTCAGCGGTTCTGTGTCGAATCGATCGCCATTCGCGAATAAGATGCGATAAATTTTCCTAACGTTTGTTCTGGCGATTATTGAAGTAGAATAAGAATTCACTGTAATCTCTTAATCTTCAAAAAGCGCTTCACTTGTTAAGCTATCATACATTAATCGATGGAATAGCCTTAACGCGTAATATAATTAGAGACTTGTAAAAATTCGTCGGATTTCCAGCTATATATTTTTTTGTTGATAAAAACAGAATATGATTACGCACATGTCATGTTTTATCGAAGTATTTTTCATCATTATCCATAAGTTTCCGCAGATAATTATCTGAATCTGTGAAATGACTCATCTTTTATTCCAATGAAATCACCGATCCATTTTTGGACTTCTTCCATAAACCTGTTCTCGACAAATCTGTTGAACTTACGAGAATTCTCCGTGTTTTCTGTACGGAAATATTATAGATATTCGACCTAGTTTGCTGTATAATAAAAATCATTATTGAATATATATTTTAGCTTCATATATATATATATATATATATATATATATATATATATAT